CACTGACTAGGCCCCTCTGTTAGAGACCACCCGCGATGAACAAGGTCTTCACCAGCCAGTCCTAACGTAGTGCAGCCCCTATCGTAGCCACCGTCTAACATCTTAGCCCCTAACGTTGTCAGTGCCGCCTGTTCACGTTGTCAGTGCCGCCTGTTCAGGCCAACTTTTCGGGACGCAGAAGGCTGAAGAGCCTTTTGCAAATTCTTTTCAACAGCTCCCGCCTCAGATATTAGGACTGGCTCATCTCCAACGGAATGGGCACGGACCATGGGCTTTAGAGTTGCGTCGCCCCATGCTTCGTTGCGAGATGTGTGAATCATCTGCGGGCTTGCCGTGGTTTTGCGAAGTGGTTCGGAAGCATCTCCCGCAGCAGGTGGGATCCAGTCCGGAAGCCGCGTCTCTACCGTCCGTCCGTCAGTCTCTGACGTGCGCGAGTCAGCTCCTGTCGTCTGCCCATCAGCGTCTGCCGTCCGCGGTGAAGGCGATGCCTGACCAGTGCGGCCATCCATCGTGACCGCGTTCGCGGCCGGGGTCGGCGGCGCAGGCTGCGACCTTTCCGGAGCCGTAGGGTTCGACCCTGTTAAGGAGACCGGTTCGGTCGTTGGGTCAGAAGTTGGTCCAGAAGTCGGTCCAGAAGTGGGTCCAGACATTGATTCGGAGGCGAGCTCAGCGGCTAGGTCCGTGGCTGAGTCAGATGACCCGTCCATCAGAAGGTCGCTGGGCCGATCGTCGTCGAGTCCACCACCATTTGGATAACCCGGACGAGGGACATCGGATGCCTGATCGAAGGTTTGGCTCGAAAAGACTAGACCGTCAGCCCCGTAATAGGGGGGGTGGTCCACATTGATTTCCTTTGTTGGAAACGGACTGTCGAATGGCGCGAAGCCGGACGATAGCGCTCTCACTGGTGACGCCTTAGCTGCCGGCGGCACAGGCGCACAGTCCGGCTCCCACTGCGGTCCTTGAGAGTCCTCCTCCGGAAAGTTGTCCTCCTGAGACCCGTCCTCCTGAGGGTTCGCCTCCTGAGGGTGTCCTGGCGAGGAGTTAGAGAGCAGCGACCCGGGGGAGGACTGCCCCGACCGTTGTTCCGGAGTGTCCTGTTGCTTCGGAGTGGCCAGTTCGACCTGTACTTCGGAATGTGCTGTCCGTACTTCGGGGTGCAGTCCCGGACTTCGGAGGTCTCCGTGCAGCCCGGTCTCGAGTCCTTGATCTGCAGCGCAGTGAGGGCGGTCGTTGTCCCAAACGGCCGCCAGTGGAGTGGCAGGCCCAATGGATGGCAGGGACGCCGAGGAACCCGGGTCTCGCTCGCCGGACGCGTCCGCCAGGCTGCGGTGCAGGCCGTCGCGACTCGACAAAAAGTCGGTAGATCGCGAATCTACACACGGCGGCATGGAGTTCCGGTCGGGACCTTCACTGTCCGACACCTTCATCGACCTCGCTCGTCCACAACTTTTCCGGGTCTCTCGAGCGGCGTCGTCGATCGCCCGCTCCATTTCGGAACCTTCGCCCGCGGGGGATACTCCCTCCGCGTCGATTACAGGCCCATCCGTGGCCGTTCCATCCGTGGCCGTTCCATCCGTGGCCGTTCCATCCG